CGTCACAGTCACTATTCTAATGCATTGTAGTAAACCACGAAATAATAACTGTTTGCGAGCCCATGAGAGAACTGTTTACATGTAGTGATAGGGCAGTAAGAACCACGCGGCAAAGTGTATCTGACCTTTTGTATGTGCCAAGGGTTCGTCGGGAAGTATACAGAAGATCGTTTTCCTACTCAGGCTCAGTACTTTGGAATAACTTATCAACTGAGCTGAGAATGGCTACGACGGTTGCAGCTTTCAAAAACCGACTGCGTAGAGTCAGTTAGAATGACGGTATTTTTTTAAATGAAACTTGGATGTTTGATACAGATAAGATATGAATCCAGATAACGTTTGAATTTTGTATGGACTTGTATGTATTTATTTTACAATTGTATTTCTACGACTGCTTTAATATTGTAAATGAACCCCCCTCTCCACCATGCCTACCTGTGAAGATTACCGCGCCCCAGAGGCGCAGCCCTGCCAAGGTGACTTAGTCCTATGCTCTCGGTGTGTGAAGATACGGTTCCCACGCAGCTCTAAGGACTCAACGGACTCGACTCGAAGTAAGACAAATGATGTTATCATCAACGATCTGTTATGTTTTGTCGCCAACAAAATGGACGTTCTCCCGGCTGATATTGTGTCGAAATTGTGTACCGAAACCTACCAAGATGAGGAAATAGAGGCAGCCAAGCGACTGTTGTTCGATACTTGTAAGCCAGACGAGCGCTACAAGAAGCGTCAGGGAGTAGACAAGTCCACTGCAAACATGGGGATATCCTCCGTGTCATGCATTCCACTGACCCGGAGTTTTTACCTACCTTCGTGTCGGCTACCTTCCGCCTCCCAGCGGTAACGTTCGATCATGTTGACATCACAACTTGCCTGCAGGAATTGCAAATCGTTCGACAAGAAATGAAGTTGATTCAAAACTGCTCGATTGACTCGGTGAAGGTTCAAGCTGAGTTAATGTCGTTGGGGACGGTTTTCGCGCACCTGCGGAGTAGACTGGAATCAACTCCGCCGACCGCGCCTACACCATCGAAGGCCTCCTTTGCCGAAGTTGTGTCAGCAACCCACCAACCGCCAACCGTACACAACCGGTTGGAAAGTTGACGTCCGAAGCTGATTGTGTCCCGGTGAAAGCTCAAGCGGGCGCGTCTAACACTGTCCCGAAACCCCGATATGTGGGCACAACTCACAAGCAGGCGGACAACGACGACCTGCCTCGAGGGACCCCAAAGACCCTAGTCCCGATGGTTTCCATCTAGTTCAGAGGAAAAAAACCTCGATCGAGGGCAGTGGTGGGAACAGCTACCTCGTCCATTCTCTCTGCGGCAAAGTCAAGGCCGGCTGAGATCTTTGTGACACGACTTAATCCCGACACTCAGTTATGTGACTTGGAGAAGTTCTTGGACGATAGCCTGTCTGAGAAATGCTCTGTCTCCTGCACAAAACTGAAGACAAGGTACGATGGATATTCTTCCTTCTGTATCGTGGTTGACAAAAATGCGGTGCCGGAGTTACTGTCTCCATCTTTCTGGCCGTGCGGGATCCTGGTGCGTCGTTTCCACAGTAGACGACGTCCCTCTACGTCTTAACCATGGATCCTGTCCTGAATCTGCGAACTACATCCTGTGACCTTGCCCAGAACTTAAGGATTGTATCTCGGCAAAGAACTCGACGGAATCGATCAAAGAACTCTTTAACTCTCATTGCATTGTTTTGTTACAGGAGCACTGGCTCCTCCCCAATGACCTCCCGTACCTTAATGGTATTAGCACGGACTTCACTTCATATGGTAAGTCTCCAGTTAACCTCGAAGAAGGTGTATTACAAGGGCGTCCCTACGGGGGAGTCGGAATCTTATGGAGAAAATCCATATCTTCTGTTGTTTCTCCCGTAGAAATAGATGACGATAGTTTAATTGCGATCAAGATTGTTTCTGATGATTGTCAATTGTTACTTGTCTGTGTTTATATTGCCTAATGACTCACCTGCAAATCACGATGCGTATCTCGACAAACTTGGCAAGTTAGAGGCAATAATTAATGACTACGACTCGTTTACCACTGTAATTCTTGGTGATTTTAATGCCTCCCCTACTAATAGTTTTGGTGTATTGTTACAAGAATTTTGCGAGGAAGTAGGTCTACACTGTTTGGACACTGAACTCCTCTCTGCTGACTCGTATACCTATCTTAGTGACGTACATGCTTCCACGTCTTGGCTTGATCACTGCCTTGCAAGCGACACAGTTCACCAAAGCATTTTTGACATTCAAGTGATCCACAACCTTGTTACGTCCGATCACTTTCCGCTTAGTGTCTGCTTAAATATGAGTTTTCCTACTGTGATTCAGGTGCCACCCTCTTCCGAAACTCGACGCAAAGTCATTGACTGGGCCAAGGCTAAACCAGACCATATTACCATGTATAGTCTAGCTTTAGACGCTCGTTTCTCTGATATTGTTTTACCCTTAGAATCACTAGTATGTAGGGATCCGAACTGTACGGACCCAACACACACTGATGCCCTAAACCTGTTTACCTGCCAATTAATCTCCCTAATGAAATATTCCGCTGATGTCTCTGTTACGGAGAAAGAATGGCTGTTATTCTTTTAAACCGGAACGAGGTGGTTAAAGATTTACACTCCGCTTCTCGAGAGGCCTATGTGTTATGGAGGGAAAGTGGCCGCCCTCGTTCAGGACAGATCTTTTCCTTAATGTGTAAATCGAGGGCGAAATTTAAGTATGCCCTGAGGCGGTGTAAACAGGATGAAAAGAGGGCTAAAACTGATTCGATTGCGAAAAGTTTTAATGCTGGCCAATCAAGAGAGTTCTGGAGAAAAATTCGTAATTCTAAAACGTCCCAGACAATCATACCAAACTCTATTGACGGCTGCTCCGGTTCTGAGCAGATCGCAGACCTTTGGAAAACCCACTTTGCGACTCTGTTAAACTCAGTAAACAACCAGACTCACCGACCAGCTGTATTATCTGCATTGTCATCTACGTGTTCTTTTGATCCTGATATGCAACAGGCACAGGAAGTTGATGAGGTTATTAAGAACTTACCCAATGGAAAGGCCTGCGGGTCTGATGGTATTTCAAATGAGCATTTGAAATATGCTGGGCCAAAATTGAGTGTCCACTTATCTATGTTATTTTCGTCTGGTCTAGTGCATAATTTTTTACCTAGTATCCTTTTAGATACTATATTGGTACCGATTGTGAAAAACAGATCTGGTAACATTTGTAGCAGTGAAAATTACAGGTCTATAGCCATCGCTTCGGCTCTGTCTAAGGTCCTGGAGGCTATCTTACTAAATCACCTTGAGCCCTACATTCTTTCGTCTGATCATCAGTTTGGTTTTAAGTGTCATCATGGACTTGACATGTGTGTCTTCACCTTTAAGAAGACGATAGAGTATTATACGAGTCTTGGTTCTCCTGTCTTCACTTGTTTTCTAGACGCCACCAAGGCCTTTGACAGAGTAAATCACTGGACCTTATTTAGCAAAACTTCTAGACAGTAATGTACCTGTGTTCATTGTACGTTTTCTTGCATACTGGTACCAAAATCAATCAATGTGTGTTAGATGGAACAATACCCTGTCTCTCCGTTTTTCTGTGTCAAATGGGGTGAGGCAAGGGAGCTTGCTGTCGCCTGTACTGTTTAATATCTACATTGATGACTTAAGTATTAGACTTAGTAATGCGAACGTTGGTTGTTATATAGGTGGTCATTTGGTGAACCATCTTTTTTATGCTGATGATATGTGTTTAATTTGTCCAAGCCTGAAGGCTCTACAAAAACTCGTGAATATTTGTGAAGAATTTGGCTTCATAAATGATGTCCAAAATACGTCAATATTCCTGTATGGGGCGGAGGCTTGGACGTTAAACGCAGAAATCACGAAACGAATTAATGCCTTCGAGATGAACTGCCACCGGAGATTACTTCAGATACACTGGTCTACACACACCTCAAACGAAGAAGTTAAGCAGCGAGTCAAGTCACTGACAGGCCCTCTCCCCAGTTTCCTGTCACTGGTAAAGAAGAGGAAGCTGCAGTGGTTTGGACACGTAACTAGAGCGAAGGGCACCTTAGCTCACACTACACTGCAAGGGAAGGCGGAGGGTAGACGAATGAGGGGGCGCCCTCGAAGGACCTGGACTAGTGACCTTAAGGAATGGACAGGGCATCCCCTGAGTCACCTGACAAGTCTGGCTGAGAACCGCCCTGGGTGGATAACTCTCGTGGACAGTTTAGTTGCCCCGACGGCAGGACAGACTGCTATGGGACCGGTGAGGTGAGGTGAGGAAATGATGTATTATTCAATGCAAAAAAATCTTGCTGTATATATTTCCCAAGTGCTCATATGCTACTTAAGCAACCTCTTCCCTGTGTTAAATTGAACGGAGAGCCTTTGAAATTTGTTACGTCATATGTTTATCTCGGTATTCACATTAATGACAAAGTGAGTGACGACGACTGTATTCTTACCCAGATAAGAGGTCTGTATAGCCGTGCAAATACTATTATACGCAAATTCGCTTATTGTTCTTCATATGTTAAAAGACGTTGTTTACAGCTCATTGCTCCCTACTTTTTGCTGCACAGTTGTGGGACAGAGCTAGTTCTAAAATTGTATCAAAGTGTCGAGTTGCTTACAATAACTGTCTTCGCATCCTAATGTCACTACCCAGATTTTGTAGTGCAAGTGAAATGTTTGTATACAATAGGATTGACACATTTGATGCTACATGGCGTAAAAAATGTTACTCATTTATATCCCGTCTATACAAGTCATCAAACAACATTATCCAATCTGTTCTTAAATCTGAAGTGATATTCCGTAGCAGATTCTTTCGCAATAACTTGGCCCGTCTGTACATATAGTCATATTATTCTTTTACTGATGTAATTGTGTGTGTATTTTATATATATGTTGTATATGGGCGAGTTATGCCTGAAATAAAGAAACAAAGTAAAGTAAAAGACCCCTGACCTACCTCCCCTTGACCTCTTGAAAAGCGACTGAAAAAGACGAAGAGTGGTACTGTTACATACTGTACATTTTCAAGGTGAAATAAAAGTTGAAACGGCTAGCGGGCAGGTCGGTGCACATCCACGGGCCAACGTCGCTGAGTGCTGGTTCACGCAGGCCGAGTCGGCACGAAGAGGTTTTCCAACTACGTGTAGTTGCTGTAGTTTTGTAGATGGTATTATACGCCTTGACTTGGCGAGGCTAGTGGGTTGGACCGTCTTTTTTCACAGCCTGAGATCGCTTCTGGACCTATTCTGTGTTTGTATACATCAATGACACTCTAATACTTTACGGTTTAAAATCTATCTTTGGTATAATAGTATGTTTTTAACCTGTGTTACTTTTATTTCAGCATACCATGGATGGAGTATCGTTTTATCCTTTTTTTAAATTTATCAATAAATGAATCATTATTCCCCACCCCTTGGTTGTACCATGCATCCTATAGGCCTTGAGAAAATGCATATCACAATTTACAAGCGAATTGCAATTACATCTTGAGGAATAATTCCCACCAATGACGTCTGAAGGTTACTTAGCGTCTCTGAAGAATCAGCAATTTTGTATCCAACCACTTCCATTGCTTGGCTGCAGATTTCCTGTATCCTGGAGACCTCGTGAAAACTAAGCAGGGACCTCCATTTCCTAGCGTTTGCGTAGGCGTCATGGTTGCCAGTACTGTATGGGCCGTGTCGTTTGTTTTTATGTGTGTTTTCCTTCACCCATTGAAGTACATCACCATGGATTGGCATGCCCAAAAACCTGTACAGCTTCTTCGTTATCAATTCAGGATGATCGGCGAAGTCCTCGTATCGGACCAGTGTGTATCTTCCTTGCCACTGGGAACTCACGTTCTATTAAGTGTTATGACGAAATGAAGACAACAACAAAGTATTAGTTTAAAGATAGAAAAGGGGAATATAGTGTTTTATTTTTATACAAGTGTGCGTAACATCGATACGAGCGACTTCCTACTGAATAATGTTCCACAATTGAACTGAACTGAAATAAGATAAATTCAAAAATGCATGAATATTTATTTACCTTGTTCAATGTATTTCGAGTGATCCAATTGCAGAGTTCTTCGATTTCACTTCCGTTTGCACGCCGCGGCGTATGAAGGTGTATTCTATGGCAAAAACATTAAAGATATATGACTTTTAAGTATGTAAACATTACACTGTTTCCCTTTTATACATAGTTTATGCTAATATAAGGGCGTGTAAAAGTTAGCATCGTAAAGCATTGTTTTTATTTTTTAAGCTTTCAATGATCTGGAAATCGTCTCTTCAATACCAGATAAAATAAGTAATATTGAAAGCTAAAGTAGTTAGTTACAAATAACGTTCACGACTTCTGAAGTGTTTGGGCGAATGAGCCCCCCCCCCGAATGTCCAAAAAAGCCCGATTTAGAAAGAGTTAACATGTTGTATTTTTTATCTTAGTCCTGCAGGTTTTGCTTTTTGTTTTATGTTTTAGAAGCATTATATTTGGGGTTTTAGATTTTTTTAAACTGGCCCTACCTCGGAATGTAATGGATGTACTCTAATGATATTCAATGAATGCTTTACAGTTGGGACAATACGAGTGGTACTACAGCATTGGCTGCATGTCTGCTGTTCTGTACATTTAGTGGTCCTGATTTTTTTTCAGTTTGATATAACTCTTTGGACAAAGGTTCGTTTAATTTTCCACCCAATAATAGCCTTTACCTCCACGGAGAAAGTTATATTATATATGGCAATCACCCAAATTTAAATGGTTAGAAGTGTGGGTTTGATGTATTATTATGACATTGGGGGCGTTGGTTGTGACAATAAATGTGAACAATAATTGCTGGCAATCTAGCGAATTTGTACTGTGATTGGAGTAAAAAAAATACATATTATACAAATTAGGACGGTGTGTATATGGCTTTTAACCCAACCTAGACCGGGGGGGGGGCTAAAAGTGACCGCGCCAACTTTGATGTCACATAGCGTCTGAACGGCTAGCGCTAGAACGGCCAAACTTGGTGACTTTTCCTAGAATATTGTTGGCAACGATTCCCCATCATTGAAATAAGATAATAGTTTTTGGTGTTGCCATGGCAACGGGTTTCTGACAGGCATTTTTTGCTGAATTTAGTACTTTTTGTTTCAACAATAGAATTTTAGGAGTTTTAGGTCAAGTTACTCATGGTTTCTAATATTTATAGCATCCCATATGATTTTATGTAAGTTTTATCATAAAATATGCATAATTTATGCTAATTTAATGACGTCATTAGCCAAAATCCAAGATGGCGGACCATATCACTAGAACAGGTATATACAGGCTATTTTCATTAAAATTCCATCAAAACTTCCATTTCTTTTTCCAAAAAAGGTTTAAATGAAGGTCTTCAGTATGTTTACAATATATTTTAGGCTTTATCATGAAAAAAAGTATTTTTGAAAATTCAAGATTGATGATCCAAGATGGTGGATATCTAAAATATGCATGACGTCATTTTATGACGTCACCGGTGTTGCTATGGGCAACATAAGACTTAGTACACCCTAATATTCTGTCATAAACACTTTTGGTAAATTTATGTTGAATACCATTTACTTTTCGGGGAAAAACCTATCTAGGCGGTTTTGGCCAATAAAATCACATTAATGATGTCATAATGACGTCATATTACGTCATAACGACTTAAAATTGTAGATATGATAAATTTTCACTAGTACACCACCCCCGGTGGTCATACGACATACCGTTCTCGACTTCTAAGGGGGGGGGGCTCAAAAGAGCCCGGTCTAGGTAGGATTAAATGTTGTCCACGTTGCGTGAAGTCCCTAGTGTCAATGCAAAGTCTACACTACCTTTGTCTGCTGAGTGCGGACGACCTTATAAAGGTGTACCTGTATGTACGGTCCTATAACACGAACATGATTTGTTGTTTGAATGAACTTAAAGGTTAAAGGCAATATTTTGTGCACTGCACTGACTTTACAGCAACCTACCTCGTTGGTCTTAGAGCAGTGATCAAGAATATTTGTCCGCAACTATGATTTTCATTATTGTCTTATTTGCCTCTGTATTTATCAAATTTTCAAATATATAACAAACTGAACTTCATTTAGGGTTTTTCCCTTGCGTATGTAAGTTTGTGAGAAGTAAAGTAATCTATACTGAAGTGATTCTACTTGGTAGCAGGGGCACGGGTAATTATCAACAACGTTATTTCTTTCGTTTTCTTCAACATTGCAATCTTTACCCACCTGGATGCAAACGTGGCTCGTGGATCCCTCACCAGGTGAATTATCTTTAGATGGATGGTAGAGTCATTCAGATAGTGTTTTAGGGAGTCAATATTTAGTAGCCGTATAGTCTTCAGTGCAGAGTAGGGTATCCTGTTACAGTATGTTGCCAATTTGGGAACGATCTTCGGCTGAAGTACCAAGCCACACTCTCCAGGCTGACGTTGAAGGACTTCCTTACAAAATTGCATTACGTGTCGGTTGGATCGGAAACTAAACAAACTTCTTGATCTTGTGTACTTACTAAATTCACTAAAGTCACAATTTAAAGTTGCCCAAATCATTTTGGTAAAACTCGTATTTAAGTTAAGTCTTAAATGAACGTTTGGTCTTTTTTCTACGAGCCACAGGGGTTCAAAGATGTAGAAGAAAGAAGGGTTCTGATTAAAAAGCTCCCCCAAAACAGATGATCCCGTCCGCATTTGAGATAGGATCACCACAGCCAGTCGATGAGAGGACAGGTTGAACGTATTTTTACTGCTTTTTCCGTTATCATCAATTCTTGGTAAATTATAAAACGAATTAAAGGTTCCTTTAATTTTTTTTGGTGTGTACTTTGTAACATTACACTGATGAACTTGAATTTTCTTTCTCGGGATCGCAGGCGATGGTAACACCCTAAAGACACCTGACACAATTTCGTCCTGCAAAAAAGTTTCCTGCATTTTAGAATTTTGTCCCGGTCCCCGCTGGCTACGATACACGTGTCCCAGTGCATTATTCAAATTCAGCTGGCCAAGGTAGATCATCATGAATAGGGCAAATAGTACCAGTACAAGCCCACCAAGAAGGTGAGGTCTTGCACTCACTGTACAACCAAGCTGCATCTGAAACACATGACGATTCATTATACAAATTAAGCTCAAATGAATCTTGTTGGAAAGCTGTATATTTTTCTAATAAAACGAATAAAGTAGTATTAATGTTCAAAAACATCTCATTCCAAAATATGTTAAACTGTTAAAAGCCACAAGTTTTGTAAATTAGAACTTTATTTCAATACATGTTATGGAGGTACGAGATCACCGGAGTCTAGATGTAAAATATTTTTTTCAGACCGTACAAAAGTTAATGGTGATATACAAAAGTGTCTTCTAGAGTGGATACATGCAGTGCAGGTATTGTATTTACAAAGCCCATGCTTACCTTTCTAGTTTTTGTTGATGTCGTATTTTTTTTACTGATTAACTTGAATTTTCTTTCTCGGGATCGCAGGCGATGGTAACACCCTAAAGACGCCTGACACAATTTCGTCCTGCAGAAAAGTTTGCTGGAACTTTCACAACATTTGAAATTTACAAAATACGTCATTTGAGCAACCATCTAAGACCTAAACTACATTGTAAAATCTGAAAGATTCAGCCGTTGAACATGACAGAAACAGTCATAAAATAATTAAGATTTTCTTCCAATTTTCTCGTGCATATTTGGAGTTTCACAGTTTACAATAGCGTGGTGCCTAAATCAAGTACATTCGTATATAATTAAGACTATGGATCGGTAAGGAAATTATCGCACTGGTTTAGTTCTACCATATATTTCTACGTTTTTTTTAAAGTTTACCTGTTAAAACACCCATGTCAAACATCAATATGGCTGTATACAGATATATTCTCCTTCATTAAAACTTAAAGAAATAGTTAGGATTAGAACGCCTACTGAAATCATTGAACTTATAAACCAATATGTGTTTTAACCGTGAACTATCTCAACAAGTTGTATTCATTTAGGGTATGCTTTTATTACATACATTTCCCTGTAATTCTCTGTCGCAATCAATCAAATAATAATTAATTCCTTATACGTGAGTTGCAATATTTTGATCTATATAACAATTTAGCTATATCTTTGTTTTTTTCTTTTATCTTTTTTTTCACATTTGTTTTATGATAAAAATTTTTATTATTATTTGTTACGATCAATCTGAAAAGAAAATACGCCTACATACTGTTAGACTTCTACCTTAGTATCCTTCTACCTTAGTATGTTGCTATTTATGTGAAGCATTTAAATCAGTTTATTATCGTTTATTAGAAAAGCAGTACCTAGCCAGGTATACATTGTTACAATTACTTCATTATCGTAAGCTAACGAATGCCTACCAGTAAAAATCGTTCAAAATTGGCTCGTCGTAAAATTTTAGTGCTAAACTAATGCATTATTGTCTTCCTATGTCCATGTTTATCATTGTGAATTGCTAAAGCAGCTCTCAGTCTGGCATCAACATAAGCTAACAAAAAGGTATTAAGGGCAAAGCAAATCAACGACTATGTACACGGAATACATTCCGCCCTACACAACACTATACGGTATTTTGAAGTGTATCTAAATATAGCTTTTTTTTCGACTTAGCAGGGATATTCTGATGATAGCCCTACAATCATGTTGTGATTTGATGAAATCAAACTTACCTTTAGAAAGGGTAATGCAGGCGTTTGACCAGCACGTAGCTATTTGCTACGTGTCAAGGTACATAGACACTAACAAAGTGTGACAACCTTCCTGTGACGCTGCGTTTTGCAGCAATGGTGTAATTATGACGCCGGTAGGTATTTGGCACCCCTCTAACCCATTTTTTTTTACCAAAAGGTCTATACCTATTTACCTTCTGGTAAAAAATGGGCTGGCACCCCCTCTAACCCATTTTTTACCAAAAGGTCTATCACCTATTTACCTTCTGGTAAAAAAAAATAGGCTGGCAACCCCTCGAACCCATTTTTTTTTACCAAAAGGTCTATACCTATTTACCTTCTGGTAAAAAAATGGGCTGGCAGCCCCTCTAACCCATTTTTTTACCAAAAGGTCTATCACCTAATTACCTTCTGCTAAAAAAAATGTGCTAAAGGCCTTTTCAATTCACTGTATGGTTAACGTCACTCGTGGGGTCGTGTGGCGCAGTCGGTAGCGCGTTCGGCTCACCCAAGAGGTCCCCGTTTCGAATCCTACCCGTGTCACCGATCTTGTGCCCTTGGGAAAAGCACTTTACACGAATTTTCTCGCTTTACTCAGGTGGAAATGAGTACCTAGCTCCGGTTAGGGACGTCCCTCGGATAGGACGTAACATGGAGGTCCCGTGTTTGGGATTCTTGAACAAAGAAATACAGTCACAATGCCCTTTGCTGTAATGAAAATTTAGCGTAGGGGGTCAAAATTATAGTTTAGAGGGGGAAATTTAGCGTAGGGGGTGAAATTTATAGCGTGGGTGTCCCCTATGCTTCTTCGCGCTAGCTACAACGTTACCGTAAATCTTATTTGCATTCTCTATTAGTTGTTAGATTCGATCCATAGTAAATTAATTAATGTTGAGACCTCAAAACACACGGAAAAACAAGCTGTCAACAGAAGGCCTAGTCAACAAGATATCTTCCGGCGCTATGCATTCCGAAATTCATCATTTGAGTGCTGGTCACGGATATGACGTAAAGAAGCACATAGATCCATTGGCATTATGGGAAGTGTGAAAATCATCAATACTACCTACCCTGGGTACCATCCTATTTGTATGCCGGGGCTCCCAAACTCGCTACCCTATTAAAGAAATTTAACAATTATAAGCAAGGAGCTTCTATCACCGAATGTTAAAAGCTCCTTTGAACCTCCTTTGAAATAGTACCATGTGGTCATGCGTAATTTTAGGAAGGGTGAATATTTGCTGCACATGTGTTTCAAGAATCTTTCAAGTACAGCCAATTTATCTTGAGTACAGCCGTTGAAGATGTCATTTTTTATAATGGCTGTGTTTTCTTCAAGGCCCCAGTCTGTCAAAGATAAATGAACAACCCGTTCCTTGGGCTGTGATCCCTGGTGAGATAAGCATCACCACATCCTGAGAGGGACATTAGGCTAATGAAAAAAGGAACCAATCACCAAGCACACCCGGCTAAAATCTGACCGAATATTGAATTTCCACTGCGACGGTTCATCTCCAGACTATTTCTAATTAGCCTCTACCAGGCTTGGGGAGGCGGCTAGAAAGTAGAAATCGGCCAAATAGAGAGATAAGCATGCCGTGGGAGTTTGTCCGTTGAGAGAACATTTCGCCGTTTAATTGGATAGAACTAATACTAACAGGGAAAACTGTAAATATTACAGTACTTCTCGATACACATGTTGGATCATGTTGACAATCATGTAATTGTGGGAGTATCCACTGCTCATGAGATCAGCCAGTCTGACGACAGCAGGAGACACTTTCAATGCTCCCTTCCGTGTGTATATATTTTCTTAGAGGCGTGCCAGAACTAAAACTTTAAATCTCATAGGATAGAGTTCTCCGTTCTTTTTTAATATCGATGACCACAAAACTAGGCTACCACAAGCACACACGCAATCCCTGCCGTTTGTTTGTTTGTTTCACATAACTGGTAAACCGGCTTTAGGCGTGACACACCAGTTTTGTACATGTAGGTACCACTCACAGCGGGAGGGTCCCCTACTCTTTTCGATAAGTGCGTTGGGATCTTAAACGTGCGCGGGGTGTGGCTCTCCCCAAACACGGGAACTCCATGTAACGTCCTATCCGAGGGACGTCCCTAACCGGAGCTAGGTACTCATTTCCACCTGAGTGAAGTGAGGAAAGTCGTGTTAAGTGCTTTTCCCAAGGGCACAAGACCGGTGACACGGGTAGGATTCGAAACCGGGACCTCTTGGGTGAGCCGAACGCGCTACCGACTGCGCCACACGACCCCACGAGTGACGTTAACCATACAGTGAATTGAACCGGCCTTTAGCACATTTTTTTACCAGTAGGTAAATGGGTGATAGACCTTTTGGTAAAAAATGAGTTAAAGGGGGTGCTAGCACATTTTTTTTACCAATAGGTAAGTTGCTGATAGACCTTTTGGTAAAAAAAAATGGGTTAGACGGGGTGCTGGCACATTTTTTTTACCAGGAGGTAAATATGTGATTAACCTTTTGGTAAAAAATGGGTTTGAGGGGGTGCTGGCACATTTTTTTACCAGAAGGTAAATATGTGATAGACCTTTTGGTAAAAAATTGGTTAGAGGGGGTGCTGGCACATTTTTTTTTACCAGAATGTAAATATGTGATAGACCTTTTGGTAAAAAAATGGGTTAAAGGGGGTGCCAGCACATTTTTTTTCCTGAAGGTAAATTGGTAAAAGACCTTTTGGTAAAAAAATGGGTTAAAGGGGGTGCCAGCACATTTTTTTACCAGAACTCTATTAGTTATTATTTATCATATTAGCACTACGTCCAAAAAAAAATTAACTAATGTACAAAAATACAATTAACACAGCTTTTCGGGCTTAACACATTTTTCACCCACAAATAAAAATACGTACTAAATAAACGTACTAAATAATCAAGTCTTATTAGTGATTATGGCATGTTACCATTGTACTTGAGCAATTCAGAAGGCCTCCATTGTCACATACCTCCTCGTATGATCCACTACCCTTTTACGTTCAATGTAGGTACAAGACAGGAGCAGATGAAAGGCAATGATGGCCCGCTTCAGCAGCGGTGACATGCGGTTGAGGAGAGAGAGAGAGAGAGAGAGAGAGAGAGAGAGAGAGAGAGAGAGAGAGAGAGTCGTTGATTACCACCTCATCAGACTAGCCTTTCGGCAGGGTCGACTGTAGAAACTAGCCTGACTACAACATGCATGGGACATACTTTTGGAGGAGACCCTACTAGCCCCTAAT